AAAAGTTCTAACCCACAGGAGCGTAAATAGAACACAATGCAAGGACACAAAGTATATAACTAAAACGACCACACAAATCCAAAATGAAATAAGGAGTAGAAAAAAAAATCCAAGACGAGTATAAGTCTTTCCTTAAAACAAATTGCCCCGCTACGGTGGTCACATTTGAATGGAAAATGTCTCCCAAGATGCGAAGGATACACACTTGTGGTAGCAGCACTTCGAACCACAAGAACAGCAAAACTTCAACGAAATTTTCCCTCTACAAAGAAATGTTATGAGAATGAGAGAAAGATGAATTGCAAGAGAAGAATGGATACTCAATGCAATGATATACTCAAAACCACATCCATAGGGTCCTATTTATAGATGTAGGAAGGGTGCAAATGAAGTAGTGTGGGCCAAAATATGCATCCTTTCGAAAAGTTGCAGTATTTCTTCCAACTTTGAACCACAATATCTCATTCATCTGGAATTTGCTTTGAGATTCCAAATATACCATGACGATTTACTCGACGAGTAGAATAAGTTGGTCTATTTACTTTTGTAATTTGACCATCGAATCAAGTTCGAATATTTGATCGAAATTAACACGAAGTCACACATTTTCATTTTTCCACTTTTACACTTATCAAATTTTTGTTATTTTTGAACCAATTCCAACAGATCCCGTGCAAGAAATGTTAGAAAGTTCGGAAAATCCATTGGTGCTTGGGCTAAGGTAGCTCAAAGCTTTCACAAGGCCGGCATGGATTTCTTAAATCACATATGTACTTTACTAGCACATCCGATGTAAGGAACAATGTCTTTCTGAATGTTAAAACATTGGTACTGGACATAATGCCAGATAAAATTTGTTGCTACCCTCTTTGCTGGCCGATTTCTTATAAAAGCATTTGGTGTTTTTGCATGGTCAAAGATGTTTTGAACTATTGTGCTCTGAAAAAAACTAGGGTTAGAAAAAGCAACTATGGCTCCACTCTTGCTTTTGCTAGGATCACTTTTTTAGTTTTTTTTTTTTTTTTTTTTTTTCTAAATCCAAATATGTGTTCCTTATGAAATGAAGAGTAAATTGCTTTTTTGCACCATTTTTTTTTCTTTTGGTTACAAATAGTTTTCTGTGTATATAGGAAAAGGTAACGCTGCGGGAACAAATCACGGCACTTCTCCAGGACAGTGGCATCCTCAAACGAGCTGTAGCCATCCATCATGAACAACAAAAGGAGTATGATGAGAGGAGCCAACTATTGCAGCAATTGATGTAGTTGGTGGCTCATTATCAGGACCAATTGAGAACTCTTGAGGTTAGTTCCATAACATCATAATTTCCTTTGAGACAGTAAGCTGTAAAGACAAAAGTTTACCTTGAAATACACTGTCTATTGACATATAAAAGAAGAACGCCAGAAGAATATGTTAGAGAAATAGGAAATGAGAACTTTCTCACTTTGAATTAAACCTACTAAAAGATGCCTAATAGACATATGTCCTTGTTTAATTGCCGAAGTTGCAGGAGAAAAACTATGCCTTGACATTGAAGTTGCATTAGGCCTAGCAGAGCAACTCGATCCCTGGTCATTACCATCTAGAAGTGTTCTACTAACTAATAAAACTCGGCTATAAAACTTGCTGCAGTGGGTTCTGGTCAATTGATTTCCCGCAAGTGGATGGGATCGTGAACAAGTAATATAATAGTGTGTAGAGTGTCGAACCCATGAGGACTATGTATTTGATCCAGTTAAAATTAACAATACCCTTAATCGAATAGCAAAATCAAATCGTGACTAAACAATATTGAATCTAGCAACTAAATTGAAAGCTAAGTAAAAATTTATCAAATTCACAAGAAGTATTGCTAAGATGTGAAATTCCCTTTGGTACTCAATTTTTATTTCAAAATTTAAATTGACAATTTGAAATTATGCTTGTTGGTCAATGTTCCTATTTTAATTGAAAACCTCTCTCGATAGTTATCAAATCTATTTCTCTCATGTGACCTTCCTATCTCTCGATAGAAGATGCGAATATAATAAATGCATTAAACGAGTTAGAACATCTTTAACAATCATATGATGCATAAATGTATATTTATATCCTTTATCGAACCTCACAATATTTATTAATATGTGCTAGCAATCTTATTACCTCTCTCGATGATAATAAAATTCACAAACAATTCAATTAATGACCAAGTAATTGAAAAGCAAGTTAAACCATAATAAACATCCAAGAATTTAAACAAATTTAATGTCAATTTAATTATTCAACCCAAAAATTTGTAACGAAGGTTCATCACTTTCTAACAATATAAAAAAAATTAGCCAAGTATATCGTCGAAATTAAACATGCAAAAGTTAAAAGACATCACCAAAAATTGACGGAACGTGACTAATTCCTGCTCAATTGTTGATAAATTATCGAACGAAGATTGGGAATTAATTCCAATTTCCAAAACTGCAGCCCACTCTTGTGTATGTCCTCTCTTCTGTCGATATGCGTGACCGTCACCAACTCATATTTATCTCCAGAGGCTGCCCAGTTTCCCGTTTAATGCCAGAAATCTGTCTTTTTTCTTTTAATTTCAGCAACTGCCTAGTTTGTTTCTTCCAAAGACCCCAAATAGCTTGGCTTTTTTTTTGTGCGTAGTCTAATAATCTTGGTTGCTCCTCTCTGCGTGTATGTGTATATATATCAACTCCAAGAGGCTATTATCTATGTATATAAAATCAATTCCAGCCGCCTATATATGTGTACAATAATCAGTCCCCAAAGTGGCTGCTAATGCTTGATTTTATAATCCTCACAGCCACTTTAATGCTTGTGCAAATTCCAGTCCCTTTTTTTTATCAAATTCAGCCGCCCAATTGTGTTGGTAATCCAATGTTTTCCCTTAGCCGGCTCTCTCTACATGTATAATCTCCCTCAACTCTTTTTCTTTTAGCCTCCCTTCCTCCCAGAAAACTGCCGTCTTCTATGTATATATATTCATGCTAGAAACCCTTTTAAATTTGGGTCAAAACAAAGTCCACAAATTAGGCCTATTGAATCCTTTATTTTCTTCAAGTCCTCACTTACTTTAAAATCATACAATTCAATCCTTGAGCCAATTTAGTCCTCGTGCTTTGGAATTTGTCATTTCTTTGCTGATTTTTGCTTCCTTCCTTCGATTCCCTTTTTGTCCATAGAATTTACCTATTAAACATATAAAATAAAACAATTTAGGGTATAATTTGTCAAAAGAACTATTAAATATTATTATTTTAGAGCCCGAATAAGTGTATAAAATATATTTATCAGGTTCTTTTAGCTCTCACCGTATATGTGCATTGAAGTGTTCAATGGTAATATTGTGTAAGAACTTGGGTGTCTAGATAAAGCTATGTAAGTTTGAGACGATTTTTCGAGGATATGGCCTAATTAATTCACTCCGGTAACATTTAAGGCTTGAAATCTAGTTCATTTATGCTTCTTATAGTAATTTTATCATGAAGATTTTATTTGAATAATGCTATCTAGCCTTGATAGTGTTAAATAATCGGTTTAAGTAATCATACTTAATAAAACTAATTAAATGAGTTGCATTCTTGCATTTAAATTAATTAATCATTTGATGTCATCTATAATCATCTAAAATGAGGTTAAACGCTAGTGATGTTACCTTAAATCCATGTCGAATTCAACTCATCTAACTAATTTGTATCAAGATTCAACTTAAATATCTCAAAAGACAGATGTCTTGGGTTCGAATCCTACAAAATGTGATAGAAAATCTTAAAGGATAAAGTGAACTTAGAGTATGTTTGATTGACATGGAAGATATTAGAGGTGGGCGCGGGTCGATTCGGTTCAGTTACCAAATTTTTCGGGTATCTAGTAAATGGAACCGTCGGTCCAAATATAATTAAATTTTTTAACATTTATAACAAAATTATATAAATACAACTAATGACACATTCAAGGGTTTCGGAATGTCAGAGACTAGTAGATTACCTTGTTCAAATGATCGCTACGGTCAAAGTTTCAATCGATGGAGGTCACAGTGTCAGCCGACGATTGTATAGGTTTTGGAATGTCAGCCGGCGATTGTATAGGTTTTGCACTTCAATGTAGGTGTTTATGGTTATTTAGTGGGTTAGATCTTGTTGGGTTAAGAAATGAAACAATAAAATGGTAATTGGGCCAAAATTAAAAAATTAGAAATGAAACAAATTATTGAGCAAAAAATTTGGATTTAGAAATTGTTAATTTTTTTAGAAAAAATTAAAATAAAAATAATTTGATTTATTCAATATAAAAAAAATAGAAATATTCAGTTCTTATTCGATTCTTCGTCTAGAACCGAGAACTGAATTATACCCGTCGGTTCTCAATTTAGATACCCGTTAGAGTATTTAATTTGACAAGAACCGTTGGGTACAGTTCTAGTTTGGTTTGCCCGATTCGGTTCGGGAGATTTGTCCAACCCTAGAAAATATCACCTAAAAAAGAAAATATTTTCCTTGTTTTGATACAAATAAAAACCACCTCTACCCAAGGAAAATATTTTTTTTACAAAAAAAAAAAAGAAAAATTAGACATATTTTCAAAAGTCGGAAAATGTTTTCCATGAAAAAATATAGCAATCAAACACTCTAAGTAAGAATTTGGGTGGAAAACTGATATTTTTCATGAAAAATAAATATAATCAAACACACCTTTAGACTCTCCCAGAACAAATAGTACGTAAAATAATGACTTGAGCACAGATGTCAAGCCGTTAACTAGAATCTTAACTGACCCTAAATGTACCACCTCGAGCCAGTCTTCTCAGAGCTCAAGGTCTTTGATAAATAAAGGCAAGCATTGGCACCCCCAGAACCATAATCTTCGTTGCTCTATAGATGAACCAAAAGTTAGCTTCTATATTTCTATTCGGTCAAAGACAGTCCACTTGATTTCTCAACACGTCTAGCTCAACTTGACTTAAATATCTAATTGTTTTCGATTATTATAAACCCCTGTGATATAAAACCTGTACATCATATTAAAAATAGATTAAATATTTAGCCAAAACATGTCATTATAGAGACAATTCACGCATAGAGCTATACAAACAGAATTTCATATGCCGCTTTTATCATCTGGCAGCAAAGGGTCGACATACACAGTTTCTAAGAAGAAATACTGCATTCTGTTTTTACATTACAAGAACTTGCCAAGAACAGTTTTTCTTGAAGGGGCTTCAGAGCTGTCTAGAGGCCCGTTTCTCATCTTGAACAGTGCAAAGAGTTACAGAGTTAACTTGTTTCCTCAATTTCGCGTTGTCAATTAGAACGTCTGTCAGCATCTTCCTCAATTCAGCATCTCTTGTCCTCGTACTGCCACCATCTGGACTTCTGATGGTGCCAGAATTATCAACATCTTTTGCAAGAAGCTGCGCCTGTTCAATGCCATAAATAGTTATAAAAGTTAAATCAGCATAACTTACAATGTATCTGGCCCTCCAATTGAAAATAAAGGCATTGGTGGCAGCCAATGCAAGGGTACTGCGCAAACCAAGAATTGAAATACACAGTATAATGCAAGAATGACAAGCTGCATAATTTATAGCTCTGGCTTGAAATTGAACCATCAACGAGTCCAATACATAATATGCTCAGTACAACTATTAAGTGACGTGCCATATTCAAATGGTCTGCTTCAGTAACATGCAGTCACAAATTTCGTCTTCTATTAAGCAACCGGTGTCTCATCCTAGAATGATCCACAGTTGTCAATGGACTCAGATGAAATATGTTGGTTCCATGTATGTTCTCGTGTAACATTAAAACAGATTGTAAATTACTTAAATGATCAAGTAAATTCTATGAAATTTCATTACTTGTTACCATCAATGGAGTAGGCATGAAACGCAAAACAGCATTTGCATAGAATGGAAGGCCGTCAGCTCTTTACACGTTGAAACAGAATTTTTATGATTACCACGAGATTTCATATGTAATGAAGGAAGTAATAGAAAAAGACAACTTGATGCCAACAGGAGATGACAACAAAGTTAGTAATAAGAAGTACCTCTGCAAGAAGAAGTCCAATACGATTATCTGATGTAGCCAACAGGCCGACAGCCTCAGATTTAGACAAAGTATCCATTTTCAGTTTATTTTCTTCCTCAGCGAGAAAATTCACACTGCATTCTTCAAGCCGACTGCGAAGAATCTCACATTCATGCACCAATTTTGCATTGGCAGCATCTGTATATTCCGATTTTTGCCTTTCCTCCTGTAGTATCCTCTACAATGAAGCAGAAGCAGAGAATGATCTACTATTTCATGACGCAGCATTGAAAGCACTATAATATCAAAACAGAAAGAGGTCGACTGAAAATCAGAGAAATGTCTAGACAACAAGCAAACCATTTTGTAACTGAATAGCAGGCAAAAATTTATTTTACAGTCTAGATAGATAAATATATGATGGAAAGCTATGATAATTCAAGCCATTGACAGCTTCAAACCAATGCTTAACTAAATGAGTTGCAATATTATCAGCATGAAATATTTCCTCAATGTTTTCAATTATTTTCTCTATTTTCTTAATCAACAGAGCACAGAATTAGGATGGTCCTAGAGCCAATCTTAAGAATTAGGATGTTCCTGGAACCAATCTCCGTTAATTTACCCCCGAGTGCAAGTATTCTATAATAGCAAATAGAATGCACCTCAAATTCGGTTCTCTCTTTGGCCAACCTGCCAACCTCCTGCTTCAATTCCAATTGAAAACTTCGAAGTGATTTAACTTCCCTGACAAGAAGTTTAACATCTGCTTTTGATTTCAAGTCTGACTCTTCACGATGCTTCAGCAAGCTCTCAAGCTGCTCTTTGGTAATATCTAACTCTTGCCGCAATGCTTCATTCTCTTGAATGATTGAAGTTCTTGTTGATTCAAGATGAGCATTTTTGTCCTGAGTATTTTTTATATATCATCCACTTTACATAAAGGAGAATTAGACAAAAATCGCAAGACAAATCCAAACCTGCTCAGCTTTCAATTTCAACTCTATCTCCATACACTTTCTTCTGAATTCCTCTGTATCCCACTGCATTTGAGTAAACTTTTCCCTTTCAATTAGAATAGCCTTCTCCAGATTTTCTTTGCCAGTCTGCTTTGTAGATCCCAGTTCATTTTCAAGATCTTTGACCTGCAGATATAAAAAACTTTAGCCCAAGTCATTATGACCAATTGTCAGATTAGGTCGTTGACAATTTCTTTCAAAAACTTGCACTGACTTAATATTAGCAGGGAACATCATTGACATTCTTAATTCATAAAAAACATATGTAGTCCACTTTTCATTTAAAGTACCAATCATATTTTTCTTCAAGGATATACTGAAAACTGAAATTTTGAAATCTAAGCAACTTCATACATGAGTCCATGTAGATGTTGAAGATTATATATTTAATATTAGATAAATGTCAAGAGAAGATGTTGACTGTGGACTGGTTAAAGAATAAAGAAAATAACGTAAATGTATTGATTGTCACATTTTAATTACAGTAGGAGTTAATAAAATATGATTTCTAATCAGTGAGGACAGTGGGAAGAGATAGATTCAGTCAAAATACTTGAACTCTAGTCATCAAATGTTGTGTAAACAACAAGTTCAAACATATCAGTCTGATACTGGTAGAATACAGAGATGAAACAGATTAGTGGGAGTAAGTCCAAATAAGTTTTATCCCGTAGAAGAGAACATTATTACTTCTTAATTTTCATTGTTAAAATAGAAATGTCAAAATATATCAGATTGAGTTATAATATTTCTGCAAGGTTAATGCATGTAAAAAAAATAAATAAATAAAAAACCACCTATAATAATGCAGAAGATTTTTGTAAAAACAATATGAATTGACTCAGACTTCGTAGTAAAACTAATTAAGTGTCATTCAGGATTTATCAGATTTGGAGTATACCTTTGTTGTGAGATATTGTCTTACAGTAAGCTCTTGATTTAATCTTGTTACAAGATCTTCCATATCTGTCTTTGACGTGGCTAACCGTTGTTGCATAGTAGTGAGAAGCCTGTTCATTTTCTGCTGTTTATCTGTTGGAAGAACAAGTAAAGTCTCATGTGAAAACTGTAAAGCTGAGCTTACAAGCGTATCCATGGTTTCAAAAGCTTCAGCACTTCGAGAGAGTTCAGATGTAGTATCGCTAATTTGTCGTGCCTCCCACAAATTTAACATTTCACCTGGTGTGGGCGAACCTGTGACATTCTCAGGGCTTTCTCTCGACAAACAATGGTTAACTATTGTGGGATTTTCAGATCCTGAGGAGATTTCCATTCCGTACTCATGAAGGGATACCGCTTTAGAATTCTCTCTGTAAATCTCGTTCCTATCTATACCACTGTTAACTCTACCATGAAACAATTCACTATGCAAATCTTTTTCTTGATTCCCTTGCATGAACTCCTTTGGGAGCTTAGCATCATCATTTCCAGACAAGACTTCGTTTATTGTTGCTTCTGCTGGACTAGCTAAATCATGGTCAGATGCTGCTTTTTCCATGCCAAGTTCAGAGTTATTATCCTTCCAATGTTTAGGTGTCCCGATCTGAGATGTCTCATAAGCATAATCATCACGACAACTCGACGTTATGGCAGATGTGCCCGTAATAGAAGAGACAGTTGAGTGGCTAGAAATCGGATATGATGGAATGTTACTATTGCCAGCCAAATTTACATATGACCCTTGATGACTAGACTCATAGAATGCTGAAAAGTATCAGAAAGGAAAAGCATATAAAAGTGAATAAGTTATAACACAAATTTTCTATTTACAAAAAGGATAATGTTTGTCAGAATAGACAGAAGTATGTTTACACAAATGTACAGGAAAAATTGTGAGAAAATGCAGCAGAGAGATACATACACGACCTTGCAGCTTCTTCCAATTCAAGAAAAAATGCTACAGAAGCACTTCTTGACAAATCAATATCGGAAAGTACTTTCACTATCCAATCCTCCAAAGAAAACCTACGCTGAGGTGAAACTTGCATGAGGATAGTAATACAACAAAACTAATTGATGAGAATTAATAAGCAAAAAATTTTGAATCACGTCAAAAATAAGTAACTCCAGCAAAAAATGACAGCACGTCCTAAATAAGAACAATGACATCAAGCATCAATGGTAAGACGAACAACAAACTAAAAATTGTGAATGAGTGAGATTTTCAGCCAAAACAAAAGTACAAAATAAATACAAAGATAAGTTCAATGTTTGGAGGAAGTAAACTACTTAAATCATTTAGTTTTTATAATAACCAAAAAATGATGTTAAAAAATAATTTAAATAAGAATTGAAAAGTAGAAAATCAACAAGAAGAGAATAACATTGATTAAATTCTGAAGAAAATCCAGACCTTATGTTGAAGCTAAATATGATGTACAAGGACTTGCATATGCATTAGCATCCTAACTATTCTAGACAATGACCCTATCATTATCCCCTTAGTCGGTTGCTGCACATTGAAAAGGAATAAAACGTTTTGCCTTGTTTTAATTCGAATTTTTGAATGAATTTCTAACACCAGTTCTACTATAATATGCATTGTAAAAGCAATTATAGAAACTATTCAAGATCTCGGGATCGTGGGAGTCTATGTTTTTCCTTTATCAAGACATGTCATTACATAAAAGGACTTGGATTATCAGAATAACTAGCACATAAAAATCAATTATCAGAGTTAATTCAGTTTCCAGAACAGTAAACTTGACCACCATTGTATTAATTTATTTTACTCGCCCCTCTTAAAATTTAGAGTAAATTACCAGATTAAAGAAGAAATAACAGGTCTCATCACATGTTTACAGACTATAGTCCAAAAACTTCTCTATTAGGATAAGCAGTCAAATCTTTAAGGAAACTTTTCGTAGACAAATGATGAGATGATCAACCTGATAGAAATGCAGTTATAAGGTCTCACTCATGAATAATTTGTGTTTGAAGAATAAATATGAATTAGCTTTCCACATAAGGAATTGCTGAATTTTGGTCAAGAAACTATAACTTTTGTAGCCTCGATCTGTTTGTCTGCTTATATGAATTAACTATTTCTCTCTGAATCAAATAAGAATCCGGAAAACTTAAACCTCGTATACACAGTAGTTGAAATGCATAACAAATTTACAAGATACATCATGAATATTTTGATCTACATAATTTTAATTTAAAAGGATATTAATGCAGAAAATACATAGCAAATGTAATCGATTGTTTATAGATAGGAACAGATAAATTGAGAAACTGATGCTTGTACCTATAGGCAAGGTCTCATCAACACTCAACAAAGAAGCACTTAGAATATGATTTGTTTCTCTGCATAACCGAAATAGCCTATAGCCTATAATTCTTTTATGGTCTAGATAATCTATTCCTCCGTTTGGCAAATTTATAAATAGTTTATAATTCAGAAAATACATAGCAAATGTAATCGATTGTTTATAGATAGGAACAGATAAATTGAGAAACTGATGCTTGTACCTAGAGGCAAGGTCCCATCAACACTCAACAAAGAAGCACTTAGAATATGATTTGTTTCTCTGCATAACCGAAATAGCCTATAGCCTATAATTCTTTTATGGTCTAGATAATCTATTCCTCCGTTTGGCAAATTTATAAATAGTTTAAAACTAGGAATAGAAATGGGCCCCAAGAAGTGTGTGGATAATGATTAGTAGTTACAAATATGTTGTTAAAATTAATATTTGACTTTGACTGAACTATAAACCAATTTATAAATTGTATCCAACCGAGGGTACTTTGCTAGTGAATTACAATGTCAACATATGATAATGATTGATTGAAAATAACTGTACAAACCCTGGTAACTCTAGTGAATTACAATATCAACATATGAAAATGATTGATCGTGATAACTGTATAAACCTCTGGAAACTTTGTGTTCACGATGAGATCAGGTGTAACAGTAATTGTACAGATTTCCAGTATATCCATAACAATAATAACGAACACGAGGTCTTGAGGGTTCTATGTCCTTAAAAATAATGTACTCAGACATTGTAAGCAGTAAAAGGGCCATAAAACATGTTGTCCTCATGTAAAAACACTCACAATAACATTCATGATCAAGTCATTAACCAAAAAATCAGGGTTATCGCACTCCTCTAAATATTAACTTATATATAGTATGACTTGCTTGGAAACATTTGCAAATGCAAGAAACCATCGCATAAAAATATATCAATATGCTACTTATACATAATGCTGTGTTCATAATAGTCTCCATCTCCCTTACATGGAGGGGGACCATTTCGGATAAATTATATTTTATTCGAAGTGGGTCCCCCTCTATGTGAGGGAGGGTGGACACTGTTATGGATAGCATGATGTACGTATAGCATTACCCAAAATCATAAGCAGCATAACAACAGATAAGGGAAATGGAAGTATATTAACTTCCTCCAGAAGCTCCCTCTTTTTCATTTTTAAAAGCCCCTTGGGCGGAACTGGGGGCATTTTTTTCCTCGGATAAGCTCTTTTGAGCTGCAAAAAGGCAAACAACGAGTAATGTTAAATTCATATCTTGCTCACAATAACATTACTTACCAAAACTACAATAATTCCACCAAAATCAAGTCCTACAAACTACGCAATAAAATAATTGAAGTCCAGTTACAGAAATATGATTAAACAGAACTCCACCATATCATAACAAGCACTAGATAAATCTTTTAAATGTTTTAGGAAAAACTCAGAGCTTACATCGGACGAGAGCTTCAAGAAATCACTGAATCTTCTTAGTATTCCTCGTGTAGTGGTAACCCCTTCTGGTGACTGTAAACCAACTTGAACCCTGTAAAACTGTCATGTAAGAATGTTAACAACAATAGATAACAACTTCTGGAACTTAGTATATACACAATCTTTATTAAACTTCAAGATTATTAGGTTCAATAGGTATCACCCTCTAACTAGTAAGATATCACACTCAAATAGAACTACCTTAAAACTTCACTTGAAATCCATCTATCTAACACCCAGAAACTATTCCTTTTTTTAGGCTCGTAAAGCAACATTTTTCTTACTTTTTTGTTGAGAAGGTAGGGTGAGGAAAAGCTAAACAACAATGGGAAAGAACTCACCTCACCTCAATTATAAACCACTATCGACAACATATTTACTATGAAGACGGAGAACAGAGAATGTAAATTAAACACTACAGAAACAATACAAATAAACAATAACTTCATGTTTTAAGAAGAAACGAAAAGAATATATCAAGAAAAACTACCAAAACCCATACCACAACAGGGTCCGAACCATGTGGGTTAGATAAGATGGTCCAAGAAGGAACCGTGACACTATAACTCCATCTTGTTCGAAAATCATGTGGCCAGAGAGTATTTCGCTCATCCTACATTGTAAGAAAATAGCTTTAATTACAGGATGCATGAAATAAATAAGAAGTTACACTAATTACAGGAGTAGTCATATGTAAATATCATTGGTTAAAACAGGGAATATTTTTAGCATAAAAGCTGATGCTTGTGAGCTGCACAAAAATCAAACAGCAATTTTGGATAATGTTCATCAAGAATACATCTTTCACTCAATGATCATGGAGAAACATAACAACAATAAGATTCAGAATCGTCTAACTTGCACTTATTGCATCTCTGAGAATTCATAATAAAATTCAGTGCAATTAACCATGTTATGGAGGAAATTACCCAAGGCAAAGAATACAGAAACATAAGATGTTGATTAATATTTTTCATCATAAAAATAACGTTTTAATGAGAAATTCTTTGCATGTTTTCTTATTTTACTTTTGTTTTTTTATAGGATAGACTAATTGGAATCAATAACAAGACTTGAAACCCAGATCCTTATTTGCAATAAATGATGCAAATAACCAGTCTAACAATGTCTGTAAAGCAGCAAACAATATTTAATCACCTCAATTGTGTTTTGATTAGAGCAAACTGTACAGTGTAACAGTACCACGTAAGCTTCACTAGCGGGCCATGATCAATCAATTTGTGTGCGACTTGGAATGTAGATAATATTGCAACAACACAATATGGAACTATAGAATAGATAACTGTAAAAGTAAAAGCTCTCTATTCTTTTCCAGTTGTTAAAACTCTGAATTTCATGTAATTTAAGCTGATTTTCAACCAAATGAAATTTGGTACATTAAATAAGTAAAGAATCAAGACTAATTTACATTTAAAAAAAATCTTAACGATAAAGAAACATGCAATCCAAATTCATTCGGGACGAAACTCCAAAAAGGAACAAAGAAAATAAATTGTACCCAATTAAGTGGAGAAGGCCTCCAATCCATGCCGAGAGGAAGTGGAGAAGTTCCATCGTACCGATTCTTCGGAGGACAGTCATTTATATTACCACGATCAATCTTGTTCCTTTCAATTGCCGAAATTGAAGACCCAGCTGAATTTTCATGGTATTCGAAGAGGAAAGAAGGATCGGCGAATCCCATATCAAGAAGCGAGTAGTCAAGTCTGTATAAATTCATTTTTAGGTTTTTGTAATTGTAATTGATTTGCTCGACGAATTGCTCCTGAGAATTTCGAGTCAACTGAAGTTCGAATTTGGGAAAGGATGTTTATGATTTTCGACTGGTACGACTTTCAACGAACACTTTTATAGCGAGAAAATTGCACCATGGTACGTAATCATTGGCAGTTGTAGTAATATGGTCTAAAATGTTTAAAAATGAATAAGTCAGACCAACGTTTATTCTTATCTCAGTATTAGTCCCGACAAATAATGTCTCCAAAAATCCTTTAAAATTGGCAAACACAAGGCATTTGACTATTTTTTATTACGACTAGTGAGACGCACATGCGAAATACGTGTCATAGTGTAGTTGACTATATGATAACGCAGATATAAGAAAAATTTATTTTTATTAAGCATTAGTTACATTAAATTTAGGCATATGTTGCTAAGCCCTTGTTTAAGCCTTATTTTAAGTCAAAGAATGCATTTTTTAAATAGTGATTGATGAAGAATGTGTGATTAAATTTTTGAGTTTGCGTGTAATATTATTTTATTGAAAAATGTGATTAAAAATGAATTTTAGAAAAATGAATTTTTGGATGAATGAGGCTCAAACAAGGGCTAAATATTTTGAAGTAACAACATTGAATAAATAACGTATTCAGCACCACAAATTATGTTCCGATTAAAAGAAAGCTTTATCAAGCAAAGTGTTTGAAGAGATAAAAATTGGTAACTTATATTCATTGACAGGATTTTAATTTGCATTTGAAAATAATTTATTTGTTTGACTCTAGTATCGATCATACGACACAACGAGGAATGAATGACCTTTTTATACATTGGACTTCTTATATTGTTGAAAAAATAATAGAAGCAATAAAATAGTCTCAATTTAATTGTTCGGGGAAATTGCAAGTCTACCGAGAAGGTAAAGGTAGCAGCTCCATTTGGAACCTGCAATTATGAGAAACTAAAACATGATCAATCTGCCTTAACAAAGGAATATTTTAAACTTATGACCATTATAGCAAGAGAAGAGTTGTAAATGGTATCATCTAGTTCGAAACTTGCATCAAGCAAATATAACAAAAATGAAAGATGTTCATACATGCAATAAAATTAACATCAAAGATCAGTGAATCATGGGCAAGCATCTTTTCGAGAGTCAAAAGGGATAATGCAAAAGATAACGAAGTCTAGAGCTTAATCTCTATACAATTCTTCTTGTTACATCGCGACGGTCTATAGTAGTTTATAAATATGTTGGCACAAAGGGACAGACAACTCAAAATATGATGATCAAAACAATCACACCCTCATGTAAGGATATTGCAGTAGCAAGTCTCTTATTTTCATTGTCCTGAACAAAAGAATTGCATGTTTAGTTAGTAATATTAGATCATACTTGACAATGTAATACACCATACTTCTGTGAAACATTGTCTTTAGAACCAATTAGAAAGATAATATTTTCATCATTTACTTGTCTTGAACTTTTTCTTTCTGTTAGTATTTTTTGTTCATTTCTTTCTATCCTATTTTTCTCTTTTCAAAAGGGAGGTTAATTTGATTTGATGATTGGGGACGTTTGTTTATCATTTTTGTAAAAATGAGAATGAAAAATATAGTCGTTATGGGCCACATACAAGAGATAGAAATTCAAATTTGATGGCATGATGTGATGGATAACAGCCATATTTTTTATTTTAATGGGAAAAGAATGGAAAATAAATGGGGTTAGAATGCACTGTCTACTATTAATGAGGCTCCATTTTATAAAGTAACGTTGAAATTAGCACAACCGACCCTTGCCAAATTAACACTCATCCGCATGTAGAAAGTATATATTAATAAAAAGACACTACGTGGTCTTCGGGTTTGGGGGAACAATGTATCGAAACATGATATGTGTCTAAAGATCGACTCAAGGCCATATGTGCTAATTATGCAGCTTCATATTGTTCAAATTCTCTACAAAAATTAAAAAAAAAAAAATTATATATATATTGTACATCTCGTAGCTTCTCAAGCCCTTAGATTTGCTACATATTTTTGTACATCCTTAGCTAATGAACAAGAGCGAAAAATTGTTATGCTTTATAACAAATTGGTATATTCAAAAGCTTAAAGAAAATCATTTTAGAGGATTGGGTACATAAGTGCAGATATATACTTTTCAGTGACTAAAATCTAACAACTAACATCATTTCTAGGGAACTGGTTATATGAGAGACTTGAATCATAACCAGTTGCCATCCAGAAGAGTAGAGTTGAAAGGAAATAACAGGAAGGAAATAAGAAAAGATAAAATTTTGTATGAAATACATATTTTGAGCAAGCATATGAAATTCCTAGCCCATCGATACCAAATAAAACACCATTTTTGATTAATCAAAGTTCACATGACAAGTGAATTTTCGAGCAACAATGATCAAGTATGGTCTAGATGCATTTCACAGGTAATTAACATAATATATGAGTAGCTCTTTTTTTCAACTGAAAGCAAGTATAAACAACTGAATCGCCAAGGCTTTAGAAATTGTAAGTAGAATATGACTTATATACCTATAGACAAACGTCATTTATGTCTGAATGCCCTTAGACTCCAGGTAATGTCTCAATCCCCTAGAATGAGAAATAAGGACTTGTTTGATACCTCCATTTTCCACTCAATTTGTGCTGTTTGATGATCAAAATTTTCCATGGAATTACTTTTCCACTTCTCCCTCACGTGATGCCATTTTCTTGGTTTTTAAGGGATTTCAAATCCTTTAGTTTTGGTGAGAATTGGCTTTTCCAATTTTTTTAAAATTTTAATTTTAATTTTTTCCTGCAATAAAAACAAATTCTATCCACAATTGTAAAAAAAATCTATCCATTAATTGACAATTTTCATGAAAAGTGAAATCAAACGAACACCAAAAGATCCAAAATTTCAACATTTTCCAAGTGGATAATTATACCAACCAAACACGTTTAATTGACAATTCTTAGTAAAATAAGTTTTTTGGTTTTAAATAATCAAATGTCATCCAAATAGATGCATTGGATCTATAATTCTAACTTGCCAAGTTGATGAATGACAGAAGGTGAAGATATTAATAAGAATAGTGAGAAACAAGTTCATCAATTCATGAGAGCTCAAAACACTATACACTTCCCAGTTTTAGAACTTTGTTCGTGACAAAAAATACATCATAGTATTAACTTTATCATCCCAAAAGAGACCACGCAGTAGGACTTTGAACAAGGATTAATAAAACCAAATGAATACAATTCTGTATTACTCACTGAAATAGTTTTCTAGGGCTATACATCTATATCAGCGCCTTCAATGGAATCTTTAGCACTGAGTCCAGTGCTCATTTGGCCCAGAGAGGGTGAGTTCCTATCAATCGGAGATTACTCGGCTGCACTACACCAGGCCGACACGTTATTGACTTAGTTGTGAGTTAAAGATTATGTTGGTGGAGTCATCAGAGCCTAGAGCACAAACAAAAACACCTGTAAAGACTTTTCAGGCATAACAAACCATTCCAGCTGAAGCCCACCTACTAAAATTTAAAAAATTAAAATATTCACATCTAAGAAAATTCAAAATCAAAAGAGAATGAAAAAAGAGAAAAGTACTTTAATTGTTTTCTCTCCAAATATAAAATAATCAATGATTTTACAAAAAAAAAAAAAAAGGAAAAACATGAGCTTGCGTGCTGTTGAAAGTTGGTTTAATAAGTGGGAAAACTTGGAGGAGAGAAAATTTTCTATCTCGATCAACACAAAATAACAGTAATCCAGAAGAAAAAAATGATGTCAACTTCTGCTCTACTATGAAAGAATTGACTGTGATGCAAGTTGCTACTGAGGCTGCAAAGATGACTGTAGTGGCAAGAGTTGATGGTGGAAGTCTCAATTGAAGCTGCCTGAACCGATTAATCATTAGACTAATAGTTTGATCTTTAGCAAGATCTTTACCTGTAGCACAAGAAAAAGTTGAAAGTAAGATTACCGTCCCTATGTACAATACACAATTTCTTTTGGAGCAAATGTTCAAAGATAGGAGAATTCTCTAAACACAATAGACCAAAAATAAAATGATCGCACTTCTGGAGCGTATTCATGTATATTAATGTCCAAAGATCTCCTAGTCAAGTAGAGGCTTATTATATTGTAATATTCCCTTTGGAATTTCAAACCAAAACAGAATGCAGACTAAGTTATTAACTGGTCATATAGTGAAAACTAACCTCAGCAAACATTATATCGGACCCTTGACGACCTGAATCCTTAACATTTCGAGAATCATATACTAAAACTAATTTAAAGAATATTCAACATAATCATATAAATTATTAAAGCACTTACCTAAATTCAAATAATTTAATGAGTTTAATAAATTAACTTAAAATGAGAAATATGTTAAAATATTTAGCCCCGTTTGATTCTCATTCTTTGGCCACAAAAATGAAAAATATGACCATTATCCATCACATCAAACTAACATATTTGACTTTCTATCTCTTGTGTGGGTCCCTTAACGGCTATATTTTTCATTCTCATTTTTACAAAAATGGATGCCAAACAGGGCCTTAAAATCAAATGAAATAATAATAGTTTGACAATGTAATAATTTTATTATTGAAACTTTTGCCACCATAAGCCATATTCGTGCCAATTGTTTCGAATCATCAATTATTTGAAAGTAAAGACATAATGGGGTGAGAATAATTCTCAATAAGCGTGCCTAGATAATCAATTCATATATGTATTTCTACGAAAAATTCATAACTTGCATGGGAAAACACGAAAATTAGACCGAACTTATATGATGCTAAATTCTCGTGCGTAATGCTACAAAACTCCGGTCCATTCTTAATAAAATATAATTAACATGGACTTAACATAACATATCCTTAGAAATATTACATGTAGAAACGTTGGACTGTCTCCTAACAAGCGCTAGTTTATAGTCTATAACTCAACTCTACCTTACTTGATTTACTCCAGTGTTTTGAGGTGAACGGTGGACTTTTCATTTGAGAAATCCCCGCTTCAATAATGTTTCAGCCATTGTCCATTAACTTTAAATGTTCATTTGTTCTCGTGAGTGATCTCTAC